AAAGTATCTCTTGATTCAAATCACTTTTCGCATTTTGGCGCGCCACTTAAAACGCGCTACTATTCGCGCCAAAATGCGAAAAGTGATTTGAATCAAGAGATACTTTGCTGCCCGTCGATTCATATAATAAGCTCTTCAGAAAAATAATTTGGACCGATTCTGTTCTCCGTATAAAAAGTCGATTTTGCGCTAATGCGGCAATTGGAACTTGCTTGTCGCTATGATTTCCAGTACAGTAGACTCAGGAAGAGTTTTTGTGCTTCTCTGTTCGTGTTTTGATCATTTGTTGGTTTGTTTTCCTACATCTTCTGGTTATGAATGATAAAGATATCAACTCAACAAACAGGATTACAGTTATGGTCATGAATACAAAGTAGAATCTCTTTTATGAAAATAAACGCAAAACTTAGCTGAAATTTTTGTCATTCATCCCGTGAAATGCGTAATGCTTTCTTTTCTTTTACACAAGATGTAAAAAAAATTTTCTTCATTAGGTTTTCTGTTTTTCCGTGTCTGTATGCACGAGAATGAAACTTTTCGCCATCTTAAAGGCTTTTCTCTTTTTTATCTGAAGAACAGAAAAGAAAAAAACAAGAACGTGCAATCTGAATGGAGTCTAATAGTACTTATCTGATATGGTTCTATTAACACTCGTACGTGCCGAAATTTAAGAAAAAACATTTTCTATATAGCTGAATAGTTTATGGAAAAAATGATGACGGAGACGAAAAAAAAATGCACCGACCGTTTTTCATGCATTTTGCACTTAATTTAGCTTGAGACACAGAATAAGGTTTGAATACACTGGTTTTTTTAAATTTTGTACGATTTTTTTGTGAAGAATAGTCTGTTGAAAAAAAAGGCCTGCTCAGTTAAAGTGATGTGCTAGAATCGCGTTAAGAGATCCAAAACATTATTTGACACAATATTTTAGTAGCAAACCTCCCGACAGTAAAAGATACGTTTGCTTTTAAGGGGTAAATATCTTTCATCAGAAGACCTTTTGTTATCAAACAACTTTATTTTTCAAAACAACAGAGTTTGATGCCATTTTGGATGAAAAGGTCAAAGGCGTGAACCTTTAAAAATAAAGGTATGCATTGCAGAAACCATTAAATGTTGAATGTGAATGAATTAAATGTCTGGAGAACGAAATCAACAAACCTATGTTATAGGCCGACTCATAGCCAAGATAAACGTATTTAACATTTTTGATTGATGAAGATTGTACATATTTGCATCTAGTCAATTTATTTTCATAATAATAAGAATAATATTCATATTTACATTGTTTACATGAAGCCTTAAAACTTGTACATGTTCTCACAGATGTAATATCATATAATGGTATGTTTCTACATTTATAATCAGTCAACTGCGAATTACATATTAAACATGTTGAAGTAAATGGTAGCAACTTGATACTATCAACGTTTATCTGAGATAAAGGAAACAAATAAAAACTAGGTAAATGATCGAGACACTATTGGCGCAAATGTAGCTTACATTATCACCGATATTTGTACACCGTGTTAAACTGTAAAAGCACAATTCAGAAGGTAAAAAAAAGATTATAAAAAATCAAAAAAAAGAAGGGAAAACGCGAGAAATGTGTGTGTGTACACTGTGATCTAACTAACTCCTCACTCTGAAAAAATGTGACTTAGGATCAAGTTAAGTCGCATTAATGTATCTTCACTTACCACCACACCTAAAGAAAAATATGGACGTGAGATTTCCAACTGTACAAAAGTTGAGCTGTGAAGCAGAAACACAATACAATGAGTTAGTCAATTATGGTATAGGAGATCATGCTGTATATGATGGCAAATTATATCAAGTGATAAGTGGTGTTCATTGCAATAAACAATTGCAAACGTGTCAATCTCTAAATCCTCACCTTGCTTATCATGGATGGAAAGTCATCGGAACGTGTGATAAGAGTATCATATCAACTACTCGATCAAAACGAGACTTGTTCTCGGCCGCTGTTGAAACAACAAATAGCAAAGCGATCAGAAAACAGAAAGAACAATTGATCTTTAACATTACTAACAAAACAGTAGCTCAGAAGAATTTCATTACGAATTCATCACGAATTTTCCGAAAAAAAAGAATTGCACCTTTGCTTTCTGCCGTTGTACCGTTGATTGCTTCAGGTTTCGGTGCTTTAAAAAGTATTTTCGATAGTGGTATAGGCTTGACAAATACTATTTTGCATCACCGTCTAGCTCATTCGATTGAAAAGATACGAACTGTGGTCAATACGCATCAAGGTATATTGAAACAGCATTCATCGTTACTTTTGAAACTTCAGGATGAACAGTTAGTGATCAGCACAGCGTTGAATGATTTTGATATAAATATCAAAATATTAAGAGACGGACTGTTTGGAGCTTTTGAAAAATTATACCGTATTGGTAAAACCTTATCAAGGCACAGTCGTCAAATGATTCGTGATAAAATGGAAAATAGTTTTGTGAAAATAAAATTGTCTTTTGAACGTATTGAGAAGGGAGATTTAAATTTGGACTATATAGATATTTATATTATACTACCTTTAACGTTTGTGTTGAGTAAAGGTTGAATGTTAGAAATTTATGATAGTTGTATAATATACACTTCCTAATATAGTAAATCAGTATTTTTCTTCAAATTAGATTACTTTCTTATATACTTCTTTCTGATAACCTAGGATGCAGTATGAATGATAATACAAAATTTGTTCATTTTTTTAATCTAATTAGAATGATGATTTATTAAACTGATACTGGTAGGGAAAAAGAAAAAAAGTAAATTTCATTATGTGGGTAGAGAGATGGTCAAGATAAGAAATGCAAATGGAGCATAGTTTGATAATAGTCGCGTACGTTGTAGTACTCTAATAACGTAATAATTAAATAATATTAATTTACACGATGTATTCTCAGAAGATGTACCATCGTAAGCTGACAATTTTGTCTTAAATTTTTAAAGTGAATCGATAGGTAATCTAATTGCTCCCTTTAGCCCACAATGAGATTCCAGATCAAGCTGCAACTTCAACTGTTCATGGATTATCCTCGTCAGTCGCAGAACCCACTCTGAATGCTGTCCAGAGTCAAATAGCAACGAATTTACGTCAAGATAGCGAAAGTGGCAATGAGATTCAATTTCATGATCAGAATCGCTGTTCACAGCCGAAAACGGCGGTCTCTTCTAATATGGAACAAGATTTCTGCCTTATTGGTACTAATCTACAGAGCTAAAATTCTTGCTGTTTTTTCCACACCATCTATACTACTTAGATCAACATCGGAAGACAAATGTAAATGTCCCACAGATGATGAACTTGTTACAGTAAGAAACCAAGATGTTTAAGTAACAGAATTTAATATATTTTTTCTTTTTGGCAAAGAGTACCTGAAAGCAACGACGTTGACGCAACTGTACATGTCCCTCGTCTGTGTCATATGCAGTTGCGTCCTGTTTTCCAAGCTTATGGTTTTGGGCTGAAAAAGGCTAATAAAAAGACACCTGATTGTCACATCATAAATGATGTTTTTGATAATACATCGGCTCAAGCAGCTGGTCTAAAAGTGAACGATCGAATTATAGAAGTTAACAATGAAAATGTAACGAAACTAGATCAGACTGAATTAAAACAACGCTGCATACAAAAAACTGCATCTAATGAGTGTGCTTTACTGGTTTTGGATCCAGTTTGGAACAAAAAGTTGTTCCATTAATGTAACAAGCTCCAATAAAAATGTCATTCCTTGCGGAGTACGAGCGATTTCTGGTTAATGTTGTAGCGATTATTAACCAGACTTTTTTTGAATAGTGCTTTTTGTGTGTAGAATTAAACACGGGTAACATCCATAATGCACAAAACAGATCATCAATGTCTTCATCGAATAATTATCTTCTGTCAATGTTTCGACCACCTAAACTAATGACACTGAAAGCAACCGACAAGCCACTGGCGATACATTCTCAGTCTATTCCGCCAAACGGAAACTATTTGCTTTCACTCTTTTGACCACCAAAGAATCCGAGATCGACTGTTGCCATACCGTAATTAGCTTTCGTTCCAAGTGCGCCAGTGCATCAAGAACCCGTTTCACAAGGACACTCACAGAGTCAAATATTTCGTCCTGCAATGACTAACGTTGTTCCTGCGCCTAGTGTATCATCTTCGATTACGAAACCAAAAGAGGTTAAGCTTAACGCGCGCGATCCATCTGTTAATCTGACAGAATCTTTCGTACTCGTCCAAATAGTTATCTTTCTTTCTATATTGTTTATTGGTGATTAATTGTACTTTCAATATTTCAGGAGAAGCCTTCAACTTGGGACATACAATTACATTTACAGAAAAGAAATGCAAATAAAGTGAATACCAAGTCCATGATAGACTTTGAGTTACCGACACGAAAACCAGATCTATCATTTGCTGGTGACGAAATGATATTAGGTGAGTAAATCTCCAAGTGAATGACCTTTTTTTTATTATCCACATTCAGATTCTGCTTTTGCTTTTTATCATTGTTTTTTTTTATGCAAAAAGCGAGACTTTTAATCGTGCTAGCGAAAAGGCGATATGCATGACCGACGAAGAAATATAAAGGGTTGATACTGATGTTTTTTCAAAACGTTGTCTTCATGTAGGCACGGTTGATAATGATTCAAAGGAGTTAGGAATTAAGAAAGTATCTTCGCAAGTAGAAGATAGGATGGGGTTAGTTGCTCTGCAAACAAAAGGTTCGGCAATTTATTACATTCTTACTAAGAAGAAGCGATTAAC